CCTACCCTACCAACAATGTTATTATTATTGTTTTGTACCCAGCTGGCCAATCGTCTTTATAAATACTCGGGTTAAGTCGGGTATTTTTCTTATGTTGTCTGTCCAATTGTGTCTTGAAGGGGAAGTGACCCACGTTCGTCATACGTGTCTTATGTGTATAATGTACAGTGTATATTGTATAATGTGAGATACAATGGTGTTAATGTGTTTGATATGTAAGTGTTTTTTATCAGTTATTTTTGTTATTTTATTAATATTTTTGGTGATATTATTGTTGTTGTTGTTTTTGTTATTATTTATTTATTTATTATTATTATTATTATTATTATTATTATTATTATTATTAAGAATTTAAACAATGGGATCTAATATGACAGAGGTCTAATAACACAAGGCTCTACTATGACTGGGCTAGTAGGACAGGGGTCTAGTAGGACAGGGGTCTAGTAGGACTGGGGTCTAGTAGGACTGGGGCCCCAAGTGACCCACAAGCTTGTGTGGTGGAGGAGGCCCAGGCGGTCCTGACACGCTCGACGCACTGAATAAAAACACGTCCTAATGACTCCCGCCGGTGGTCTAGCCCCTTGAGGACGACCTCTTAAGATACCACTTGAGGGCCCCCTTGTAGTTGTTGACACTTGAGGGCCTGCTTGTAGTTTTTGACACCAGAGGGCCTACTAGTTATTAGTAGACCAGATGATAATCGATCCTTAAGGGCTTGTAAGTAGTCAGCCCTCAAGTCCTTACTTGTTATTGCTATTTGGTATTTAATTGTCACCCAAGGGCATGGTGGCATTTATCTCTCGAAGGGTTCATAGTTAGTGCCACTTGAAGGTTTGGTAGTGCCACGTGGGGGCTTCTTTGTGCCATTTGAGGGTTTCATTAAGGGGTCTGTAAGGAAGGAACTTGTGTCTGGTGAGATAAAACTCTAACCTTATCTTGTGTCGAGAGAGAGAGAGAGAGAGAGAGAGAGAGAGAGAGAGAGAGAGAGAGAGAGAGAGAGAGAGAGTTTTTTTGTTGGATGTAGCTTGACTTCCTTCACTCGTGGTTGCTAAAGGTTTGTGGTCATCTTCACGCTCATCAAGGGCGTGAAGGGTCTTGTATGGCTGGTGGTTGTTGTTGTGGTGGCTGGTATTATTGTGGTGATGGTGGTTGTTGCTGTTGTTTTTATTGACGCAATGGTGGTGGCTGTTGATGTGGTTGTTGTTGTTGCGGTGGTGGTGGCTGTTATTGTTGTGATGATGGTGGTGGTTGTTATGGCAGTTGTTGTTGAGGTGGTGGGTAATGTTGTTGTGGTGGTGAACAGGGTAGTAATGGTTGTTGTTGTTATAGTGGTGGTGGTGCAGTTGATGGTGGGGGGATAGAATAAGAGTAATGAATGGAGATAATGGTGGGGGGGCTGTACGGAGGTAGGGGGAAGGAGAGAGGAAGGGAAGGAGGCGCTGACCATGTTTACTTAAGGGACAAAGAGGTGTGGGAGAGGTGACAGTGACACACACACACACACACACACACACACACACACACACACACACACGCACACTTATTTCCCATGTTATATTAAACAGTCTTTAATGTACAATTACATTCATATAAAAGTTAAGGAATTAACTGTATCACCATAATGGAATCACTTTACCTGTACTGTACACCTTCACCTGTCCTGAGTCTGGTGTAAGTTTCTATATATTTCCCGCCAGCGTGAAGACTTGGGACTGACTCCTTCAGGGCATCGTCTTATAAAACTAACTTTTACTAGAGCACGTGAAGATTAAGCACCCTAATGCTACCTGGGGTGGCTAGGTTAAGCTAGGTTAGGTTGGGTTAATTTATATTAGTTTAGGTTAGTTTAATTAAGCAAGGTGTTCACAAGCTGTTACTAATCTGGAGTACATCCATAGCCTGCACGACACAGTAAGCTGGAGAAGGCAGACATCCTGGAAATGACGGTGAAGCACCTACAGGCAGTACAACGGCAGCAGCTGGCCCTGGCTGTGGCACACGACCCTGCTGTGCTCACCAAGTTCCGCAGCGGCTTCACCGAGTGTGCCCAGGAGGTGACCAGGTAAGGCACAAAGAGGAGTTCATAACGAGATAACATCTATATGGGTGTTGGTAAGATAGCTGTTTACATACCTAGAGGACCCTTGACTTATGACCTATGAAGGACCTTCTTTAGATAGTTTCAATGAGGACAACGGCAGGGAGACATCAGGACCACCAGGAAACATATTGGAGTGTGAGAAAGGTGACAGTAAGTCTTAGTATTAAGTAAGGTCGTGGTTTCAGAGAGAGACCCACGAGTCGAGGTACGGTTAGTTGATGAACTTCATTACCTGCACTGTCTGGGTGATGATTTGATTGAATATGAAGAAGAAGAAGAAAAATAGCTTCATTTAGAGCAGCTAACAAGGAGTGTGGTGCCAGTAGGGAGGGTCACCAGCTGTACAGGGAGGGAAGGAGGAGTGTGGTGCCAGTAGGGAGGGTCACCAGCTGTACAGGGAGGGAAGGAGGAGTGTGGTGCCAGTAGGGAGGGTCACCAGCTGTACAGGGAGGGAAGGAGGAGTGTGGTGCCAGTAGGGAGGGTCACCAGCTGTACAGGGAGGGAAGGAGGAGTGTGGTGCCAGTAGGGAGGGTCACCAGCTGTACAGGGAGGGAAGGAGGAGTGTGGTGCCAGTAGGGAGGGTCACCAGCTGTACAGGGAGGGAAGGAGGAGTGTGGTGCAGACGACGACGTTTAGTTAACCTTTAGTTTTGTTTGTATGAACAGTATCGATAATGTTCTCTCACCACCTCTGGGATGTAAAGCATGAAGAATGTAGTCACTACTCGGCTCAGAGAAAGTGTTCCAGATATTACCAGGAATGTTTTGTCAGTGTGTTTAGTGTCTTTTGACTCGTTTATTAATTAACTCAGTAATTGAGATATTTTGAGAATGAATATTACGTTAGCATGAATCATGGTGCTATATTTATTGCATTCAATAAGGGTCTATACATGGATTTTGTATTATGTATTTCTTTCTTTTATGTGACTAAGAACTTCTCTCTCCTGCAGGTATGTGTCAAGAATCGAGAGTGTGGACAATGCTGTACGACAACGCCTTCTGCAGCACCTGGGTCAGTGTGTCTCTGGGCTGACGGCCATGACCCCCATGTCCTTCACGGCCATGGCGGGGCTCCCGATGCCTATGGCCCACCTGCAGGGAAGCTCGCTCCCCCCAGGACCTCCCCCCACACTTCAGCAGGGCCCAGGGGATGTCAACAATAATCAGGCGCGGCTGTTACATGGTCTTGTTGCAGCCAGATTAGCAGCTGCTGGGGACGCTGCAGGGGCAGCTCTCCTTTTACATGGGGGTCTGTCTCTCCTGGCCCGCGTCGCACCGCACCCTCAACCCCCAACCCAGCCAACAGCACCTCCACATCAAGGGGCATCGACAGTGCCGCCTCCCCAAAATGTGCCGCAGCCACCACAAGTTCTACAGTCTCCAGTTGTCAAAATAAATGAGGGTGCATCATCCTCCGGGGAGCGCCCCCTGCGGCCGTCTGCTTTCACAGCTGTGAGACGGGCCTCATCCCCACCCAGAGCGCCTCTCGAAGTACACTCACGCCCACAGGAGACTTTAACATCCAACCCCACCCAGCAGGTCGTAGCTCCCACAGCAAGAAGATTCATTGGAGGTCCAGAGACTCATCCAGAGACAGTTGTTCGTGCACAGGTTGCCGTCCAGCCCGTGAACCTGACCATGTCTGCCCCTCAGGACACCGAGGTTCGTGCACCACTTGACTTTTCCTTTAGAAAACGAACTTTAAATATACCAACACCGACTCATCCTGCACCAACCCATGTCACGACCACACACACGATGCCTCCACACACTACCCCCATACACAGTGACGTCAAGCAGAGCTTAAGCACACACTTGACACCTTCGCCGTATGTCCCCGCCCTCACCCTGGCCACCAAATACCAACTCACACAAAGTTCACAGACAGCAACCATCAAGAGACCTTTGGAGGTGCAAGACACCTCTTGTTCTCGCCCATCTAAGATGATAAAGACAGAATATTCCTCCCTGGCAGGACCCCCCATCACTGTGCGTCTCGTACCTTCAGGTCACCCTGTAGACCCCTCACACGCGACGCCTCCCTCACACACATCACCTCCCTCACACACATCACCTCCCTCACACACATCACCTCCCTCACACACATCACCTCCCTCACACACATCACCTCCCTCACACACATCACCTCCCTCACACACATCACCTCCCTCACACACATCACCTCCCTCACACACATCACCTCCCTCACACACATCACCTCCCTCACACACATCACCTCCCTCGCACACATCACCTCCCTCACACACATCACCTCCCTCACACACATCACCTCCCCCACACACATCTCCACCCTCACACACATCTCCACCCTCACACACATTTCCACCCTCACACACATTTCCACCCTCACACACATCTCCACCCTCACACACATCTCCACCCTCACACACACTACCTCCTACACACATATCCCCTCCCTCACACATATCCCCTCCCTCACACATCACTCCTCCTTCGCTCACATCACCTTACTCCGTCACATCCTCACACACGTCACCGGGACCCTCGCCGACTGGTCCGACGACGCCCAAGAAGGAGGTGACGTCAGAAGACAACACGTCGCCCGACAGACCCTCCACCTCCGCCACTCAGGAAGATAAGGATATGTGGCGACCCTGGTGAGCTTAACGACGCACCTGTCAAAAAGTTGTAAAATCGGACGGTGAACTTCCTCATAAGACACAACTGTTGTCATCAAGTTTGAGAAATTCACCACCTATTTTTTCTTGAAAACCCAGTGATTTTCTTTAACCTAAGCCCCGTTTTTTTTTTAGTCATATCAACCTTATTTGGCCAACTCTATACATACCATTAGTGTATAAAAACTGGTGATAAAACCCTCTGAGGTACACTCCAACCCGGTGTGACACGGCTAACCTGATCTCTTAACTCCCACATCGTGTATAGATCTCAGTAGCTCAAGTGTCTGGTGAGATTGGACACGGCCAACACGAGCTACGTCCTCATGATACTAACTTGGGTAATATTCGCAACAGAGTCCTATGTAGAGAACCGGTCGAGGTGGTTCATTCCCTGTGTCAGCCCACCCACCTGTGTGTATCACTAATGACAGTAAATTGTGTATTGTTCTTACACAGAAAGCCTCCAGTATAACATTACATTCTTAACAAGATGTTTATATTTTATTTGTTATTTGTAATTATAATGTGACGTTGAAAGTAAGATTGATCTTTGTTGAGGATAGTTTTAGCGTTTGTTGTTTAGTAAAGGTCTCCATCAATGCTTCAAGTGGTGACATACAAGACTGTATCAGAGTACTTGTAGTCATGATGAGGTTCTGCTGTAAGTGTTAGTCGTCTGTGTAATTTAGTTTATAAGTGACTGTATCCTATAATGTACTTTACAGAGATTCCTACTACCTTATATTTTTTTTTTTTGTGTAAACACAGACAGACCTGGTGATATTTAGGCGACACACCCATCATGCTCAGTAGGCCGAAGACTATTCTAATAATTTCTACCAATAACCAAAGTCCATATGTGACTTATCGTGGTTAATGTGTCTAAAACTGTAGGCGAAGTAGTGGATATTTAGTGACCTGATCTCTTCATCAAGTTCCAGATTACAAGGACGTGACATTAACAGTAGTATAGTATATTATATTCGTGAAAAAAAAAAAAATATAAAAATGCCAAAATAGATAAATAATCGAAAGAATACGACCCCAAAAATATGTAAATGTGTATAGTTTTTTATATATAAATTATGATGTATCTTAAAGGAGTGAGAGGCAGACTCTGTTATTTAATTGTTACACACACACACACACACACACACACACACACACACACACACACGAGCCCAACACAGCGAGGAGTGACCCGACGCTGCTATATGGGATACAGCATTACATTATCGGCTGCTGAGTTATTGAGTTTCGTGTTATCGGACGCTGTGTAGTGCTGTGTGTGAAGAAGTCCCGACTCCTACCTTCTCACACACTGCCCTTTCGTCCTCCTCCTCCTCTTGCTGCTGCTGCCTCACCCCGTGCCAACTCTGTACTTACCTCCTACCATAGATAAATGTATCCAATCGGTTCACTTAAGGAACGGCACAAAGACGGTGACTTTAGATGGCGTTTAGTTATGGTAGAATCCTAAGGTAATTTTAATGATTTGACCATCAGTTTGTTTTTTTACTTAAATAAGCCAGTTAATGCGTTTTACATCTCCAATAAGTTTAAACATTATTTATATTTATCGTTGAGAATCTGCGCCTCATAGAAAACGGGAAATATTAGCAGATACTCCGTTAGAAGTTCGTGTTATGAGGTGATGGGTGACGGAAATGAGTCCGTGAATGTTTACTTTGCCTTTGTTGTTTATGAATAAGAAGTTATATTTACACGTTCTTCTGTTTGTTTCAATTTAGAGGGGGGGGGGGTGGTAGTTAATATTCATGGAAGGTGTGAATGGAGGAGAGTTTTGATGAAGACAAGTAAGTGAATGCAGTGACGCGTAACACCATACTGCCTTCATCATCCAAGGAATGTGAACGACGTCACCGAGATGTCGTTCACTGTTCTATGTAGTGTAAGTTTGTGTTAACTCTGTGATATCTTAAGGAATAAATAATATATAAATTGTAACCCTGTTTTTAGTATCTTCCTTACCTCGATAAATATAAATGTATATAGAATTTGTATATAAACATCGTTACTCTCGTGTTAAAGAGGATTTGTTTTGTTATGCGTGGAAAAAAAAACAATCTCACTGAAGTTATGTTTTATAGAATGATAGGCTACTTTCTTTCACTTTGTAAAACTTTCACTTGTTCCCAGGTTACGTTTGGGGGTTATTTAAATTTTATAGGGGTTAAGTAAGTGCAGGTGATGTTATGATATATGTACATAACCAATAGTCTCTCTTTCTCTCTCAGTAACAATACAATCGTTGCCTGTGGATGTAGGTCAGTGAGGCTCTTACCACAAAGCAATAAGAGGGGGAGGGAAGAGGAGGCGTTGGATGGGGGGGGAGGAGGTGAGGAAGATCCCAGCCCGAGGTTGTGTTGAGAGTAATTGCTATCGGGGCTGACTGGACGACCTTGTCTTGCCCGGAGGAAGATTCACTCCTCTCACCGTGACTGGGCGTGGTCGCTTGGAGATGGATTGTGTGTGTGTAGGAGTGCGATGGACGTAGAGTAGAGTAGGATGGGATTTATCTGGGTGAGACCGGTGGAATAGGACCTTTGTGGACTTGAGGTAGGGTAGGGTAAGGTAGGACTTCTGTGGACAGGTTTAAAGCTACCGGATTACCTTTGGGTGGGACCGCAGTGGGTGGGACTAGACCGCGTGGGACTAGAGCGCGTGGGACTACAGTGGGTATGACTAGACCGTGTGGGACTACAGTGGGTATGACTAGACCGTATGGAGCTACTTAGATGCTGCCCCGGTTAAGTGGTTCGCTGCACGACCTCCTATCTACCGGTAAAGGAAGTCAAGGTCACATCACACTGGTAGTCTTGGCCCGGTTTGTCTATTCTCCCGGTTGTGTGGTGGTGGTACTGGTGTGTCCTCCCAGCACTGTGCAAGGAGGGTTACAGTAGCCTTGGTTTTCCTGATCACCTGAAGATTACCTTACACACACACTCTAGTTTATGTCATCTGATGGTTCAACACCCTATTGCTATATCTGGTTAGGTGAAGTGAGGTTAGCTTGCGTATAAGTTAGGTTAATACAAGTCAGGTTAAGTCAGTGTTAATGTGGTTAATCTTTAGGTGAAATAATCTAAGGGTGTCTAATCTTCAGATGATCTAATTAACCCACCCCCAAAAATATACTAAACCTTCACAAAGTCTAAAAAAAAAAACCATAAATAAAATTAAATTACTTGACATTTTACTTATTATTTCCTTACAAAAATAAAAATCACCAAAGAAAAGGAATTTGTCTAAAGTATCTGTGTCGTTCATGGTTACGTAAGAGTCAGGGTGGCGAGCTTTTTTTTCCCTTAAGATCCTCTCCCCTAAGGCGGTGAGTGCCCTCTTCTTTGTGTTTCTTCATTCTTCTTCCTTGTAACTAAATCCTCTTGAGTGTTATTCAGTCGTGTCTGATCCCATTATATAGAGGTTTAGATGATGTTAAGTTTAATTCAATACCCCAGAGTTTTTATATTGATCGTTATTTTGTTTATTTAATAATATATTTTATTTATTTATCTTTATTATATAGTTCTTTATTTTCTATTTGATTATTATTTTATTTATTTGTTCTATTTTATTATTTATTTTTGTTTTATTTTGTATTTATTTACTTCCCTGTCCTTGTTCGGTCCAGGGAAGTGTAGTCGGCAGTCATGTATAGCGCCGGGTTACGCTGCCTCCTTGCCTACCGAGAGCTTCATGTTGTGATGTATCCATGCGAGCCGTCCTTAATGTCCACTCATGCATATAGGATCTACTTTCACACACCCAGAATAGGAAGAGAACTTGAAGCTGTGATTAAGTTGTGGGTAAATAAGCTGGGGTAAATAAGCTGGGTGGAGGTAAATAAGCTGGTGGGAGTAAATAAACTGGGGGTGAAATCCTCAGTTTATCCTAAATCTCTGTTATTTTTTAGTTTTGTGAGGAACAATCGTCACGAGAATACTGCTTCTGTATGTGAGGTGCTCTTGTCTGTCAATCCTGTATAAATGTGTGTAAATCCTGTACAAATGCCTATCAATCCTGTATAATTATCTCTATGACCATAAATTCCATGTTTGAGACAATAAATGTTACCTATATAAATGCCACCAGTAAATTATACCCGTGTCATCATTAGTGGGACTAGTTTAGAATAATACATTATTAGTAATGAGACATATTCAAACATGCAAATTCACTATTACCTGCATAATCAGTAGTTACCTGTTCATTAATAAGATCATTAATGTAGACAGTAAGATGACTGAAGATACGTGTTTTGGTAAATTAGATATGCAAGTTCTTCATAACCTGTGTGTGTGTGGTGCATATTAAATAACCTTGATGTATCCACTTTTAATCAGTTAGACAGATGGAGAGACAGTGTGTAATACGAGAATTAATTAAACAGATAGACAGGTAGACAGTTGACGTCAGAAGTAATATTAAACACCTCAATGTTAAATAAGGGAAGACAGAAAACTACATGAACGAACAAACTGAAATGACACAAAAAGATGATAAAAATGATGACCCTCTCTCTTAACAGGTCATTATTGGTGCAGTGTCTTGAAGCATCATATCACTACTACCTATTGAGCATGATTATGTAACTGAGGTGGCGTGTGTGGGTGCGTGTAGTGCCTGGGGGTTAGATCGAGGGGGGGGGAGGGGGAGGGTATTGACCGACAGGGGAGAGAAAAGAGATGGGGAGAAAGAGAGAGAGATGTGGTGAATTCCAGAGATGGTGACGTTGACTGGCCATTGAGAGAGAGAGAGAGAGAGAGAGGTAAGGAGGAGCTTTGAGAGAATTAGAGAGAGAACGGGGAGGAGAGAGGGGCGTTGACGGACCCATGAGAGAGAGCGAGGGAAGGAAGAGTGTTGAGAGAATGGGAGAGAGAGAGAGAGGAGGAGGAGGGAGAGCCGTTGACTGACCGGCAGATAGGCAGAGCATAGGTAGCGTCTCCCCCTTCAGGATAGCCTGGGGTACGTACTATCATAGTCTAAACCGGACCACGGCCACTCCCTCCTCTCAAGGCCATCCACGAAAGCCCTTACCTCACCCTTCAAGCTCCTTCAATTTTTAACACTTAAATAACTATAAAAATCACCCATTTTATAGATTCCACCCCAAGTGACATTTATTAAAACCCCGTAGAAGGCGCGGATATAGTTATAGCAGGAGGCCCCGAAGGTATAGTGGCGGGGGAAGTTTACGCCACAAGAAAGAGACGCATCGGTGTCGTGGTGTTGAGGTCCCAGCCCAGCCCAGGTACAGTATATAAAGGCTTTCAACAGGCAGGTCACCCGTACATTAGCTCACTCGCCGATCCCCAGACATGAAGGTTCTCGTAAGTGCTTCCTCATTATTTTTAGTTACAGCCGCTGTGTTATAACTTAGTGATGCCGACCGGATTCTCTTCTACTCGTACTTCCAATTGTGAGAATATATTTAGGATTGAGACGTATCTAGGATTATGATAACGAATCTAGGATTGTGAGACGTATATAGGATTTTGAGAATGTATGTAGGATTGTGAGGACGAGTCTAGGATTGTGAGGACGAGTCTAGGATTGTGAGGACGCATCTAGGATTGTGAGACGTATCTAGGATTGTGAGACGTATCTAGGATTGTGAGAACGTATCTAGGATTGTGAGAACGTATCTAGGAGTCATGAGAATATATCTTTCTCTAAGTATCTCTCTCACGATGGCTCGCTATCTCCCAGAGAGTTGATATCTCTTGGGGTGAATTGATGCGCTTCACATACTGTACATTCAATGTGCTATCAGTGTATACCTGGATATATTTAATTAAGATATATTTCAGTTTCACCTGTACAAACACACACCTGTACATTCTCTGACAGTTGATAATACACGTCTTTTACTTTTTGGGTAAAATAGATAATTATTTCAAATCTCGATTAAGACACTGGCATAAGATTGTTACAGTGAGATATGTGCTGTAGCTGTCACTGTAATGGTTATGTTATGATTACCTTTGTTATATCTGTATAAAACTCTGTATTTTGACACCGGTATACAGGAGGTTACACTAGGTACACTTACATGAATACACTTCTTGTCTTGTGTCCAGGAGCGTACTGTGTTCCCCCTATTCTCTCTCTCTCTCTCTCTCTCTCTCTCTCTCTCTGTAAAAGGAAACTACCGCATTTATCTTCTCTCTTAGTCATTGTCATCCATATTTAGTACCTGTACCCTCTTCTTTTTTTCTCTTCCTCTTTCTTCTACTTTATTGCCGTGTCTGTGCTTCGTATTCAGGGTAGAGTGAGTGTTTGAATATCACTTCTTTCTCTGTGTCGTCGAGGTGTCTTCCTCCGCCATGCCGAGGGCTACTTTGGCACAATCGTTGTGGCTTACAGTCGGTAGATAATATATCCCCTTTACCTGTACGGGCGTGGTACTTGTACTTGTATTGGGGATTGCTGGCCACTTCGCCTTTGGGCTATTTCGGCGTGGTGTCTCTTAGCTCGATATATGGCCCACCACCCCAGCTGTTTAAAGCAACACGTCTGTTACTGTTATATATGGTCCACTATACGTGTTGTACAGTGCCAGGTGTTTGATGGTACTATCACTTGTTGAGTAAAATAGTCCAGATTCTGATGTCGCCATACTATTGGTAAATAGCAGACACTCAGTTAAGATGTGTACCCATATAAATGTAATCAAACATGTACGCTCCCGGTGAGTTTGTGTAAGTAGACGCAGTTGTCCATATAGACTGTACTGTGTGTTTGTATGTTCCCGATAACCTCGAGGAAGTTTTGTTCGCTTCCTATGACTATTCTTAGGATCATCAATAAAATTAGTTGATTCAATATTTTGTTGGTATCTTCAGGTTCTTCTCGCTTTGGTGGGCGCCACCTGCGCCGCCGCCCTTCCCATGGAAGTTCCTGTCCCCGTGACGGACACTGAGGAAGTGGTGCAAGCCAAAGCTGAGTTCGAGGCAGCCTTCAAGGCCGCCGCCGCCGCTGCTGCTGCTGACGAAGTCCCTGAAGTTGTTGTTCCCGAGGGCGCCCCCCTACCTGTGGAAGACACCGAGGAAGTCGCTGCTGCCAAGGCCGAGTTCAATGCTGCCTTTGAGGCTGCTATTGCTGCTGACGGTTCTCTCCCCGAACTCGTAGTACCAGAGGGTGCTCCCCTACCTGTTGAAGACACTGAAGAAGTCGCTGCTGCTAAGGCTAACTTCCAGGCTGCTTTTGACGCCGCTGCAGCTCGTGCTGAAGCCGCCCCCGACACCGACCTGGATGGTAAAATCTCCACCTACACCGGCCTCCTCTCCACCATCGACGGCAGACTGTCTCCCTTCTACACCAACACCTTCCCATACGGTGCCTACGGTTTCCACGCCCCCTTGTTTGCTGGAGCCCCAGTAGTTGCTGGAACTAACGCAATCGCTGGATCCCCTCTGACCTACAGTGGTCTTGGCCTCCCAGCAACCTTTGGTCTTCACGGTACTTATGCCTTCCCCGGCGCTTTCGGTCTCCACGGCATTCCTTTCATCCAGCTCGCCGACGCCGAGGCTGAGTAGGACTCATCTAGTTTGCTACCTTCTGTATGTGAGAATTTTGTAACATAAGAACTCAAAAAATAAAATCAGTACCATGCCTTTACAAATTATTTTATTTTTTGTTACATCAATGTTGATAAACCTGTAAACAGCTAAAAATAAAATTTCCCATGGAAACCCAATTTGAAAATTACTTTTTTTTATAATTCCTCGAAAATCGTATACTGTAATCTTTATCTACAAAGGTAAGTAAAGGTTTTGCAGATAAGTTGCAAAAAGTCCTTTAGTAATAATTGTTGGATGAAGCAGAACCTTCCTTACGTTGAGGACCACAGAAAGGCCACCGCTTAACTCTCTGCCTTACCTAACGGAGACGAACGAGTGATTCGCCGCCCTCGCATATAGAGGTCGATCCTGAGATTCATGAAAGGAAGATATGAAAGTTAAAGCCAGAGGAGCTACATGGTGTAATTCATCTGTCTACATTGATCACACTTTTTCCCCACTGTCCATCATAGTTCAGGGACAGAGTGACAATTTGTTCACTCAGTAGGAGGAGATGGAAGGGAAGGAAGAAAATGGTGGTTAAGCTTTAATGGCTCCAAAACCTTAGGGTCCAGGGACGATCCAAGGCCATCAAGGGCCCGGGAGGATGACTGTAGAAGCACCTAAAACCATAATCTAGTGAACCGGTCTTGATAGTCCTGGCCGTTGATTTACCTAAACTTAAAACAACAGGAACAGAAGAATTACAGGGATGGATTGACAGCCCGGGAGATGACAGTACCAGGAGGACCAAGAGAAGAAAGTTACAAAGGGGAATTTTTCAGTGCCGGGGAAAGATCAGCCAAGAGTTTAGAGAGAAGAGGAGTGTTATGTTTGAGGAAAGAGAAGACACTGTTGTGGAATGATGAACCGAATCGTGGGTTAAATTTTAGAGAAAACCTGGAACCAAGAATCTATTTATGTTATTATTCAACAAAAATTTAGTTCATCGGGTTTGTTTTTACGAGTGATTATTTAGATTTTTCCAAATATAATTTAGATGTTTATTGATAATATAATTATGATTTATCTTCCTTGATATAATTTGCGGTGATAAGCGTCAGTATTTTGGGACGAGAGTGGCTTTATTTATTTGTTTATTTACATTTCTGTGTTTATTCCGGTGATGGGCTGAGTGAGGTACGAGCGACCTCTACCCCCCGGAGCTCATTCCAAAATTTTTCTACTGCCTTTAATTAGTCTTCTGGGGCATCCATTCTCATTAATTTCATCCCTTGCCCTTGAACAACCATGGACAGACAAACGATCCTCGGGCGTTCGAGTGTTCCTATTAGATCATCACCAAAAGGTCCAACTGCATTGCCTCCCGTGCTTGCAGACAGTGTGTCACCGAGAGCTAACAAGTACTGTCCGAGCAAAACAAAGCCTTGGACATTAATCACAACTACGGAAAGTTTAAGAACGAACGAGAACAAAATCAAGCTTGAAACACGTGATGAGGGGACATTATATGAGGCTGTTAAGTATACACATGTTTGTGGAGAAATGAAAAGATTGCAGTGGGATATTCTGGGATTAAGTGAAGTAAGATGGTCAGGTTCAAATAACATTAGTGATGAAATTTTTACTTCATATATTCAGGTGATGATAAGCATGAGAGATACTGGTTATAAGTGTCACACTGTTTGTAGTCTATATATATATATATTTCTATGTAATTATAATATGAATTAATAAGCATAGGCAAATAAAACAAGAAAATAAGCCTCCTATAGAAAATATAAAAGCAAAAGAGAGCGTACCATGATAATTTAGCATAGTATGTCATAAAACGTTTTTAGTTTTCTCCAAAACTTCTGGTATTCGTTTTCTGTTATAATATTTAGGAACAACTTCTATTTTATAATTTTTCACTTTTTCTCTGAATTGGTTTCACGGATTGGTATTAAGTTTTTTTGTGTTAACAATACTAAAGTTCCCTTGTGGAACTTAGATAGTCAGTATTTTCTCTATTTTTAGTTAAATATAAATTATGATTGTTAGGATCGGTTAAGTTAATTTGTTTCACGTCATCCTTCATAAACGATTTATTGTTGTCTCACAGAAGCAGAATGTCAAAAAATAAATAGAAAAGATCATACCAGTCCCAACCTAGCTTATCTAACATAATAACAAAACTAAAACAAACGATTAGATAAGGTTTTCTAGATGTCAGGTTCCATTTTTTTTTCATTTCGCCTGTTTAATAGAACTGTAGACGCAACATAATTGAACATATCACTTTGTTACAGTTTAAGTTGATATAGTATTGGCTCAGGTAATTAATTTATTATAACACTCAAGGGAATTAATTAATATTTTTTACTCTAATAAAGACTATGACAAAATAAGCTATCTATTTCAACGCAATATATTATATATCAAATTAAAGTGAAGGTATCTAAAATTAAAGCAAATTAGTAATACTGTACTAACTAATTTTTGGTGCGCAGCTTCATTGATTATATTTTTTTTACAATATGGATAAAAAAGATTATGTTCATATGATAATCGTATAACGAATAAGACTAAAATCCAAGCAGTACTGTATGAAGATATCTGAATGAAATTTCCCGTTGGGTCTGAAATAAGTCTTGTAAGATGAGAAAAATTATCATAACACCATAGTCTAACGACTCTAACCGACCACAGAGTAGTCTTGTCGGTGTGTTAACTGGTACTTTTTTTTATCTTTAAAGATATTGAATAAACATTATCTTGGTTTCTGTAAGAACAGTATTCACCCATTTATCAATTTATTAGTTTTATCGTGACACTGAAGAACGTGTATAAAAACCGTGATCAATTACAGTATCAGACACTATTCTCGGCAGACGACAACAAACTTTATTGCAGTATACTCGGTTGAAATGTTACGCTTTTCCTTTGTAGAGGCACTAATTTATTTTTTATTTTGTATGTTGTAGCATCTTTAATAACATGATATATTAATAATGGCCTGGATATGTATATATATATATATATATATATATATATATATATATATATATATATATATATATATATATATATATATATATATATATATATATATATATATAATATGCTGAGAAGAAAGAAAACAGAAGTTCCCAAGAGCTTTCGTGAAATTCACATCTTCAGGGGTGAGTAGTCTGTACTCACCCCTGAAGATGTGAATTGAAAGCTCTTGGAACTTTTTCTTATACCTAGATCACGCGCACTTTCAGTGATTTACTTGCATATATATATATATATATATATATATATATATATATATATATATATATATATATATATATATATATATATATATATATATAATATATATATATATATATGTATACATATATATATTTTTTTTTTCTCTATCTTACGCTAAAACAAAGAAGAAAGTGTAGCAATTTTACCCAAACATCTAAATATAATTTTACGTTCATATTTCGACATCATGCTGATAAGGATAAGTCCAAAATATTATGAAGAGTATCATTTAAAGGACGGATCCAGGAGGACCCTGGGGTCTGGACCCCCCCCCTTTCACCAGAAATTTTCAATACTGTTTAATACAGTCCTGTACTCAGGCATTTTTGTATAGTGTGACGTGACACAACGTTGAGTCCCGGGAGTAGAAACCAGCAATTAGAAACCACCTTAACAACCACAACAAACTATAGCTAGACCAAGTGGGCATGGAACGTGAGAAGCTGGCTCACACTTCAGAGAAGCAGGTTTGACGTGACCGAGGAAGGTGGAAACGGTGGAAGGAGTTCAACATCGCAAAGACATAAGCTTAAGTATACATTATATTGTTGAGGGTGTGTGAGTGGAGGAAGACTAGGATAGAATATTTTCTGTTTATAAGATGTGATAGTGTAGGATGTAATATTGTGTACTAGGCTTGAAACTTCGTAACATTATACTGGTTAAAGAACGGTGGTGTCGTTATCTAGTCTGTGTATTGTATAGGTTTATGAACCCCCAACCCTCGTTATTGTTTGATTACTTGTCACTGTAATTATGATTAACGTAACTTGTTTATCTGCTAAGTTGTGAATACTCCCAAACCCGTTAACACTTGTAAACTTATCATTTGATTCGTGTTTTTGTACTTGTCAGATACTTTATTTTTTTTTATTAAATGAATTTGTATTTTAATTTACTCTAGCGTATTGCTTATTTATTTCACTGGCGACCGTGTTATTTTTTACTGTTACCGGAGTGGTGAACTATGCGGGTTGACACAATCTAGGACTACCAGTCCGTAACAATAGTTAGAAGTATTTACTATTGACTTCAGAATATCACGTGCGCATGACTTCAAAATGCCTGATAGTGGTCAAATTTCCCCCCAAATCTTGGGTTTGGGGGGGAGTGGCCATGTTTCCCCACCCATGACTTCTTGGACCCTCCCTTTGATATTCCTGGATCCGACCCCGCATTTAATGACATCTGTATACATATATGTAGGTCGCTGGAGCAGGACTTACCACCTGGCTGCCACTCCACCACCAGCGCCCACACACGGTAGTCGCTCACTCGCCACCACCACGATTGATGAAGCCGCTGTGGCAGTTTTATGACCTTTGATGATCTCTTGATTGTTCCTTGACCTCGCGGGCCCAGGACCACACCACACACGGGCTTCACTACACCACGAATTATACAGCGACCTTTGAGTAGCAGGTCCTAGGTATCTGAATCCTAAATTATGGGTTGTCCGCTCCAGCATCTGTTGATAAAGGTACGGAACTGTGATTAATCTTTAGTGCCGTGGGGAGTACTTGACAGGAGACGTCTATATCCAGTCTGGTCACTAATTGTCGGTAAAAAATAAATTGAAAATAAATAGGCTATTATCGTTTATCTCTGGGGGTAAACTGGCCACCAGGTACTGACACTTTAACTATTTGTTCTTGAACTTTAGATCCTAACAAATGTTGACGGAGAGATGGTGTTTGTTTTAGGTTACGCCATCAATAGACCATGGACCAGGTTATGTCCTCCTACCCCTAGGGATTTTTGGAGACCATGTTATTTGGGTTGCCTGATCCGTCTCTTCCGTATCTGCTTGTCTGGAATAAGTAGTAGGCCCATGTTATGCATGAGCAATATGACGTTCAAATCTTCGTAACCTGACAGCTGAAAGCATTGACGGAGGCAATA